CAAGAGCTGGGCCCTGCTGGGATGCGCACTGTCCAAGCTGACGCCCGGCCCCGGGAAGAGAGGTCACTGTGCCAGGCCGCCTGGCCTTTGGTTACCGACTAAAATGCGAGGAAGGTCAGTGAGGCTGGTCTCAGGCATCACACGTTTTCCCTGAGACTAAATTCTTCGCCCAAACCACTGCAGTTCGAACTCAAAAGGTCCCTGCGGATGACTTCCCACTTGTGCGCAGGTAGGTGACCGAACTCTTCTGGGTGCGTAAGCTCGATGTACTAACCTCACAGAGTGGCGGGGGCCCAGTAGACATCTGTGTGAAGAAGGGTGTGGGCTGGGCACCTGACTGACAGAGTCCAGGGTCCCCTTCAGCCCCGTGCAGGGATTTGAACCACCAACCAAGAGCCTGGCAGCTTAGCAGGTCAGAATCTTTCCAACTCTGTGGTCTTGCGGACACAGGATTTTTACATAGAAAGAGGTCTGTGGTAGATATCTAATATTTGGCTGCCCAGCAGGCCCCTCCCCCATTTCTGCAAACTGTCCCTTCTCCCACGCGATCCTGACCTCAGGCATGACAAGCTGGCCCAGGCTGGCCAGGCCACCGGAGCTGGGCACACTGGCATCCTTCGTCACCGTAGGTACAAACTGGAACTAAGATGTGTGACCAAAACTGACAGTGGTGATGACACTGTTAGAAGCCATATTCCAAAATGTAGCAAAAATGAAATGGCAGGCCCTCGCCGATGTAGCTCGGTTGGTTGGAGTAGAGTCCAGTAAATGAAAAGGTCACAGGTTTGGTCCCAGTTACGGCAGTAGGAGAGGCAACCAATCAGTGTTGCTCTCTCACTGGGATGTTTCTCTCCATCGCTCACTCTCCCTCCCTCCCCCTCGCTCTAAGTGTGTTCCCAGGTGAGGATCGGAACGACGGAAGGGAGGAAGGAATGGGGGGAAGGAGGGAACAGCACCAGACCTCCTGGGTTCCCCAGCAGCCCCATTCTAGTCCGTCTCTGTATACACCCAGCCCTGCACCGAGACCCTCCTTTTGCAAGAGCTAGTGCATTTCTACGACCAGTGCGGAGTTTGTGGTCAGAAACTGAGACGTGGTCTAAGCTACAGCAACCCTATCGCTGCAGAGGTGGCCACATCTGTCTACCAGACGGGCTATACTCCTCAGCGTCCAGATGGTTCCTAGTCCTCTCGGTGTCCTCCACAGCCCTTTACACCTGCCACACACTCAGTAAGCATCTGCTGAGTGTGATCTAAAAATAGTCTCTGATGTTTAAACAAACCCGACCAACTCAGCTGCTTGTTTTAACAGACTGTTTCTGGTCTCTAGCAAAATAACGACCTGAGTGACCATCACGGCTGTGTACATGGGCCCACTGGGGAGCGGAGAGGGACTCAGGACCGTAAAGAATTTCAGAGGAGGGGTCCCTGGGACAGGAAGTGCTGGAAGTTGGAGTGGAAACCACGACTTTCAGAGAAGAGCAGGGCGTCACCGATCATGGGACAGGACTCTGCCCACGCAGGCTCCCCTGCCCTCACAGCCCTGGACACCAGCTTCCCCCGGTTCCCACTCACCATCCTGCGATCTATTTTTTCCAAACCTAAATACCTCCTCCAGCCTCCAGCTCCACATGCTCAAGTGTTTCAAATACTCACCCACTGATATCACAGCAAACTACCTCCCCCTGAAAGCAGCCACTCCGCCTGAGTCCCCTACTGCTGTGACGAACCCCACCTTCCCCATGACAGATTATCAAGGTTATCACTGCTATATAATGGGATCCACGCAGTGACTGAAGACAGTATGTTGACCTGGAAAATGTTTGCAGGCTCTGCTCCCAAAAAGCAAACCAGAATGTATAGCGTGACCCACGTGTGTGGACACACTCATGCAGGCAGCATAACGCCATGTTACACAGGCCTGGGAGCTGGACACAGCTGGCTGAATTTATGCCCACAGGGGCAGCACCTAACTTTTGAGTGACTTTTTAAAATAATATAAAATCGACTTTGAGGGTCTATCTCATGGAGAAATTACAAGACGATGTACAAGTACAGACGGCATTGACCTTGTGCTTGCTCACACAGGACGTATCCCCAAAATGCTAACAGTGATTATCTCTAGGTTCGAGGACTGCAATTTTAAATTGTTTTGCTTTGCTGAACTTTCCTCACACTCTAGTACTTAACCAGCAATTCCTGCAGATTCTGCTTCAGAGATGCATCTCCTCGTATGAGGTTCTTGTTCCACATTTGCAGGAATGTCCCCACCCCGCAGGAGGCTCTCGCCTCCTCCCTGCACTCCTGTAGCATCTCACACTCCCTCCTGCAACCTCCCATCCAATTCATTCCCCAGACACCAACCCTCCACGACATTCTCCTGCTCCAACCCTTGCCTGGCTACCTGAGGCTTTCTGCCACCCTCGGTCCGTGGTCCCAGCCCCTGGAGAGCACAGTGTTATCTCACCTCCCCACTCGGTTCCCAGGGCAGCACTCAGTTCCTGGTTGCTGCCCTATGGCCTTTCCCTTGTTAAAACCCCATGGCCTTCTGAGGCCGACGTGTGCCCGCTGCTGGAAGCCAGCCCCCTCTCTGTGTTCACAGAAAACAGGGATTAACCACATTCTGCCAAGAATTCTAGTCGCATCCTTCGACACAGGTTTGACCTCAGGCCTTCCAATTACATAGATCAACACGTGCCATTCTGCAAATAAGTCAGGAATGAACTCCCAGCTCTAATCTCGCAAGGCCCCTCAATGGGGGCCTCAGCTTAACTCCACTCAGACCTCAGACCTCACAGCCCCAACTTAGTAAATCTCTTCCAAGACCACAGTACTTTCAGTGACCTTGTGACACTTCTCTAAAGGGACTTGTCAAGGCCTGCAGCCCTGTCTTTATCTTAGCTGAATATAAAGCAGACGCATCCTGGCTGTTTATTTTCCTTGGGCTTCCGATAGGCTAGGCCAGGGAGAGCTCTGGCCCAAGGCACAATGGTCAGGTCAGGGCTGCACTTGAGTCAGAGGGACCTGGAAAATTACCCTCGGGCACGGCAGGCTGACTCCCAGGCCACCCCAGAGCATGTTTATAAACAGGAGTGCATGACAGCAGGAGTGGCCCCAAGGTTTTCCTGTGTCTGTTCCAGTATGAAACTTTAGGGGCCGGGAGGGGTCCTCTTCCCATTTCACCCCCACACCCTACAGCCAAGTCCGGTCTGTCACTATACCAGGCATAAGTTTACCTAATTCAAGTGCAGCCTATGAATGTTTCTTAATAAATAAAAACTGTTGCTTGGAATTTAAGTCGTCTTATAAGAAGCTTAAAGCATCTTCTCGGAGAAAGCTGAAATCACTTCGATGCCAGATGCAGAGTGAGAAGACAATATCTGATTGATTTAAAAGTGTTAAGCCTGCTTTTCTAGATTCAAGTCTCCGTTTTCAGAACAGTTTAGATGCTCCTCTAAAAAAAGTATGTGTACATTGAATTTTTCTAAGCAATATCTAGATGCATATTTAAAGGATGCATATTAAATATTTTGGCAAACTAATTCATGTGGGGGGGCACTTTCCTAACTAAAGAATGCCTTTATTTACCTATACTAGGACGGGGGAAGGACCCACACTAGGGGAGAGAAGTGGGCAGATTCTAAGAGAGGGGGGCAGCCAGGAGGAGGTGACTGTGGCCCGCAAGAGGGTTAGAAAGGGGTGGCTTTTCAGTTCGCGGCCGGCCTGGCCGAAACCGGGAGGAGAAAGCTGGGGAAAGGCTCAGTGACACCTCAATCCAAGCCCCTGCCCCGCTGTGGGCGTCACCCTAAGTCGCGTCCCGGTCCACAAACAGCCCCAGACTTCTCAAGGACTGAGGAAAACTGCGCCCCATTGTCCGCAGCCCAGACACAAGCCGAAGGGCCGCGGGGCTTCCCCAGACGAGAGGACACAGTTGCCCGGCGCGGAGAGCGGTTAGGGGCGCCTCCGCCTGCAGCACCATCTGCGGCGCCCCCCTCGCGGTAATCGGATTCTGCTGGCGCCGCCCGGGGTGCGGGGGAGGGGAGAGGGCTGTCGCAAGCTGCTGTCTACACCCGCTCGGACAAAGCTGTCCTCCCCAGGGCAGGAAAACACGACCGCACACGGCTCTCCACCCCGCGGGCGCAGCCGCAGCCCTTCCCCGACGCGGGAAGTCGGCTGCCCTGGGCGAGGGGTGACAAAGGCGCCTCCCGCCACCGGAGTTTCCGAGCCAGCGGGACAGCGGCGGCGGGTCTCCGAAAGCTGCCCTCTGAGAGTGGGGGCCCTCCCTGGGCGGTGGTCCGATTGCGGGCACAGAGAGAGCAAGTAAAAGGGGAAGAGGACAGTGCCCGTCTTCCGCGCCGACTCGCGAGGCAAAACAAACGGAGAGGGGCGGGTGGGCGCGCGGACTTCCGGAGCAGGGACGGGTCCCGCGAACTCGCCCGAGCGGGAAGGCGCCCCCCACGCGGCCCGCGGAGCCCTCTTACCATCTCCTTGCGGAGCAGGGCCAGCGCGGCGTCCAGGTTGGGCGGCTTGGTGGGCAGCGCCGAGCTCCGGGCGCCGCCGCCGCCGCCCCCCGCGCCGCCGCGGCTCAGCTCGTCCTGGATGCGCGACTTCTGGGCGTACAGCCGCTCCAGGTGCCGCCAGCCCCCGGCCGCGCCGCCGCCGGACGCCGAGTGCAGCAGCCCGCTCAGGCTCTTGGGCAGCGGGGGCAGCCCGTCCACCCGCAGCCCCCGCGCCGCGCCCGCCGCCTCCGGCGCAGCTCCGGCCGCGCTCATCCCGCCGGCCCGCCACGCGCCCGCCCGCAGCGGCCCCGGCGGAGCTCCCGCGGCCCCGCCCCCTTCCCGCCGGCGCCCCGCCCACTTCCCCGCCCCCGCCCACTCGCCCCGCCCCGCCCCCACAAGTTTTCTCCCGCGCGCTGGGCTCGGGTCCGGACCCTCGGCCACACCCCCGCCCCAACGCCCGCCCCCGTGCGCCGTCGCCTCCGTGCTGATTCCGCCCTCGCTCACCTTTAGCCTCTCGGGGTGGGGGGTGCCCCCCACACCTGCCCGCGCACCTCCGGGACCCACCCTGCCGCGCCTGCCCCACTGCCGGCCGGGCGGGTTCCCGAACAGCCTCCAGAGCTGCTCGCAGTGACCGCGGGGGGGCCCTATTTCGAATGCGCCGGATGAGGCTGGCTGGTGCTGGGGAGGGGGGCGGCTGGTGCAGAGTCTCCGGCTCGAGGCCGGCAGGACGCGGGGAGAAAGCCGGGCAGTGCTGGCGATCCCGCCCGCGGTCGCCGTCCCCGGGGCCAGGACCCACCGGGCGGGGCCCGGGGATCGAAGTCTTGGCGGCAGGACCCCGCCTCCGCGCCAGGGCGGCATCCAGACTCGCCCCCGGGAGGACTGGCACAGCCAGACCCCGGCGAGTCGCGGGTTCGCTTAGGCGTGCGGTCCTCCTCCGTCGGTGGCACGTCCAGGGACAGCAGCCAAGACGAGCGCCAGGTCCACTTTGGGCCTTCGAAACAAACCTGTCTTTCAGCCTGGCCGCGAACGCACGAGTACTTCTAAATGGAAATGTTAGGAAAGCAGAGAAAAGGATTAAATCTCCGAAAGTATCCATCCACTCAGGCAAAAATAACGCTCATGACTCACCCCTCAAAGGGAGCGAACAGAAGTGGAAACGCTTCCCCCCTTCTAGGAAAAATACAAATGACAGTGACAACCAGGCTACACAGAGGTCAAGGAAGGGGTCCAGGAAGTAAGCAGCGATTTGCAGACACAGCCCCACTGCAGATGAGACACCAGTACACAGAGTGGTCAACTGCCCGCTGCCTATGAGTTTTCAGTATTAAACAAATTCAATGGTTCTGAATATATGCAACAGGATCATACATTACGCAGTGTTCTGAGTGCTTCAGGCAGCCGATGCAAAAAGCCTTGCATTTTGGGGGACTTTCCCCCTTTAATGTACAGCCCCTCAGAGTCCACCTCAGAGGCCACCCCAGAGCCCATGTTTTTAACATTGGCAGGTGTCCCTGATGTCCCCTTGGAACTGGGTGAGACTGACAACGAAAGGCCCCAGCTCAGGCAGTTGCGGGCGGAGGGCATCTGGGAGGCTTTGCACCCCACCCACCGCCCTGGGTTCTCCACATCATCGCTGCGCCTCGCCTTCCACTAATCACCGAGTCACATTTCTGGATTTCAGGTACTCATTCTTTCACCTATTTAAGCAGTGGGTGTCTCGGGAGAGTGACATATTTGATGGTGTGGGAGTAAGGGAGAGGAGGGGACGGAAGCATTCTGATCTCTCGTTCACACCCTGGCACGAATTAGTGTAATTGCTGCTGACTGTCCTGTGGAGACTGCGGGAAATTAGGCGATTGCAGGCCTGGTTATCTGGTGCAATGAGGAAAGACATCATTTCAAAGGATCAAGACGCTGAAATCATTTTAAAGCTCGCACTTGAGAGGAATATGGATGGCGTAAAGGAAAGACAGTGAGGAACAGTTTAAATGATGCCAACCGCACGATGGTAAAGGCAGGCTCTGCATTCTGGGAGATAATCAATGAGGTGAACACACTTAAATAGTCCCCTTTATATCAACAAATGACAACCCAGTGTGAATGGAAATTTCTACAGAATTTCTGTGGTGCCGGCTAAGACTCTAATTATATAAACCCAAAACATAATTATGCAAAAGTCTAACAAATGTTGTAACCCACAGGGAGTGTCAGCGCCTGCTTATTGAAAGGTCAACCTAAGGTGTCTCTGAGGCTCCCGCTGGCAACAGGAGTGAAGTAATACGTAACTTGAAAATATGTGTTTTGCTTTCGTTCAGTTGTGAAATAACAATATTATGATCTCAAGCCAGAAGGAGACCCAGCTATTTCCTATGCAGCTAAGTCATTTTTTCTTATCTCTTTGGTTTTGTTTTGTTGTTCACAGGCTCTTGGAAGTCAGAAAATACAGACTTCTAATTCAGTGCTCTGTTCATTAACTCACACCTCTTCTTAAGACTTTGTAGATCAAGGTTGGGAACCTGAACCTGGACCACAGAGCTCAAAGTCTCCGACATCTGATGACATCGGTGGATCTAAAGCAATCCTTTTTTTTTTTTTCTTAAGAAAATGTACTTATTTATTTTTTAGACAGAAGGGAAGCGAGGGAGAAAGAGGGAGAGAAACATCAGTGTGTGGTTGTCCCTCACACGCCCCCTACTGGGGACCTGGCCTGCAACCCAGGCACGTGCCCTAAATGAGAATCAAACTGGCGACCCTTGGGTTCGCAGGCCGGTTCTCAACCCACTGAGCCACACCAGCCAGTGCTAAAGCAATGTTTTCATGGCCGTGAACTAATGACCTTTCAAGGACTCATGGAGAGGTGTTCTCATCTTCATCCTTCCACTGGTCCAGCCACATCTTCATCCCACCCCTCATCCCTACCCACTTGGTATGTGCTTGTAGAACATTGAGAAAACCTAGAAAATGCAGTAAATAAATAAAAACATTTGAGAAGAATCTGCCACAAGCTTTATTTCCTTAAGAGCAAAAAGAGGCACCTAGCTGAGGAGTCTTGATGAGACCAGTGTCCTTCGGGAGAGGAGAAGGAACGTAAGGGTTTCAGCAATAAATCGGGTGGAAGCAGAGATGGGGAAGTGGGGTAGAGAATTTCAGAAGTCTTTGTGGGGAAAAAAATGTCATGAAGAGATGGAAATTCATGGGCAAGCTGGTAGGAGGGAAAATAGTTTTAAGAGGAGGGAAAATGCTTGGATTATTATCACTCATTCACATCTTCCTCCCTCCCTTCTTTTCTTCCTACCCATTTAATCTATTTTATGCCAGGCAATGAGCCAGGTTTAAAGATATAAATAAGTTACTTTGAGCTAATGAAGGAAATACTTTTAAGAACATGCTAATTATTTTCTTAATGAGGTACCAGCTTCTCCTGCCACATCTGAAATAATTGGAGGGTCACACTTGGTACATACAACCTGCCATTCAAATTTTAGAACTTTCTAATTTTTAGAAATAATTGTCTGCCATGGTGGCTTCTAATTTTAAAAAGCCCTTTTCCATGTGTTCTCTCATTTATCTCCACATCAGTCTTTCGCTAGTTAAAAGTCCTTTTCAGTTAAAAAAAAAATGCCTCTTTTAGAAAGCATTTTTAACTGCCAGGACCTTGGTTAAACACTGTTCTCCAAAGTCATGTGAATGTTCTTCCTCCCCAAGAAACAGCTGTGGTGTTGCCTGATACCGTCCTTCTTCCGGTTCCGCATCTGCAGGCCCGACTGCTAATCTTCTGTGGGGCCGTGGTTTGAGTGGCTCTGCCCCTCGTCTCTCTCCTCCAGACACATACTGCCCATCAGTGCTTTTCTTTAAAGGTAGTGCTCACGAGGAAGCGAAAGATTCCAGATGTCTTTGACAGGTTCTCCGTAGCCTTGGCCTGTTTCCTCCACCTTACTGTTTTCCTCCTTCTTTCTGAAGCTTAAAATCAAGTTTAAAGTTGGGAGTTGACACAGCATACCTCTGAATAATATTGAACTTTAATACTCCAAGTGTAGTTTGAACCCTTTTCAAGGGAGTTGCACAAGAGAATAACAGGCTATCCCCATAAATGTTAAGATGAAACAAATATGTGTTTGTTTAGGCCCAGGACACTTCTGGAAAGATGTGTGAGAAAGTGGGGAAAGGAGAGGGAGGATGTTAACCTTGTACTTTATACCCTTTTGTACTATTTGCATTTTGCTTTAAATACGAAATGAAATGTATGATTGCAATTTTATCCCTAACTACATTTAGTCAATGAATAATTAAATCCCTTTATTTATGTGCCACAGTTAAGCTGAAAGCTTATTTTTGTGTAGCTGCATTTTTTAAACCTAAACGTGATACTTTACTTTGACTTATATCCGTCAAATTTCATCTTGTTTTATTCATCCTGTTGGATCCTATCTGGGAAAAAGGTTTTGAGCTTGATTCTTGAACTTAATACCTATCTTTCTCAGAATTATCTCATCTGCTAAATTAATAAATACACCATTTAGGGTGATAATAGTTGTTATCAAACCTAATGTTTTTAAGGGTCTAATATACCTGTGTATGGTATAGGCAGTATCTCATTTACTCTTCAGAACATTCCTTAAGGTTGGTGCAATCTCCATTTCTGGGTGATGAAACCAGAATTCAGAGAAGAAAGTTTACTTGCTCACATCCACACATGTCATATCAGTAGAGCTGAGATCTGAAATTAAAGTCTCTCTGACTCAGAGCAAATAATTTTTTTAATTGTGAGAAAAGCATAACATGCAATGCCCCCCTCTTCACAAACGTTTAGGTGCACATTACAGTATGATGAACAATGTACACCTTGCAGAGCGGTGCTCTTAACCACAGCAGGACCCAAGCCATCAATGAACAATGATGAACAGCACAGGGTCAAGGGCAGGAACTTGTGGCAGAGACCCTCCTCCAGTGTGGCCACAATTTGTCGACTCGCGTTCCTTGTGTACATTTCTACTGTCGCTCAGCTGTGTGGGATTTCAAGGGCTAAGAGTGCTTAAAAGTGAGCTGTCCAGTGCGATAGCCACTAGTCCTACAGACCTACTAAGCGCTTGACGTGTGGCCAGTTCAAACTGAGATGTACTGTAGGTATAAAATACACATGGGATCCCAAATAGCGTGAAATGAAGAATTGAGATATCTCATTAGCAATTGTTTATGTTGATTGTATGTTAAAACAATAATATTTTGGATATATTTGGTTAAATAAAATAGATTGTTAAAATTAATTTTACCTCTTTATTTTTCAGAAGACTACTAGAAAATGTGTAATTACATGAGGCTTGCATTGGTGGCTCCCATTATACTTGTATTGGACAGCACTGAACCTCAGGGTTGGGGGTTCATTGGACCTCAGGGACTTACAACTCAGATATACATATGCAAAAGAGTTAAAAACAGTGAAAACCATTGTTAAATAATAGAAGTACTTACACAGACTCCAGGGATTCACAATGGGAACCATCAATAGAGAAAGGCCTTGGACAGGGGGTTGGACTTCTATGGGTCTTTAAGGAGTTAAAGAGACAGGCTTTCTAGGCCAAGGTGAGTGACACCTTGGAATTAAGGAAGGAATGAGGAAGAATGAGGATGACAACCAGAGTAGGGCAGGTAATGGACGCTGAGGAAGCCACAGACTCCAGGAGGGGCGGACCACTAGTCAGCAAGTCCAGACCTGCGCTCTTGGACTGGCTCTTCACTGTAGAGGAAGCATAGCTATTTTTGGAGCTTGAATGGTGAAATCCATGGAGTTCTTTTTTCCATCAAAAGTTCTCATATATTTATTACTGAACCATCCTACTATTGCAGAAGCACAGAAACAGAGCAAAAACCCACTTTCCCAAGAAAACATATCCAGCTGTTCAAATGGGGGTGACATCTTCCACCTGGTGTTCTGAGATACCAGTGACCTAGTACGGCATCAATGTGTGTGCTGTCTCCCTTGAGATTCCTTACAGAGCCAGCTTGGCCCTTCCCTAGTTCCTCCTCTTAGAGTCGGACCTGATTTTCTTACCAGTTTTTATGGGACTTCATTGGATTGGGATGATTCTGCTTTCGTTTCTCGTCCAGGAATCACATGATCCTCAGGGTCTCGTGAGACAACGTGGTGAGGACAGAGCCGAGTGCACTTGCCAGTGTCAGAGAAAGGGAGAGAGGGAAATCTGTGTTGTAGAGCATTCACGTGGCCGAGGTACCGAATGGGTGGAATGGGGGAGGGGAGGAGCTGACACACTGGAAAAAGGAAACAATTAAAAAGCTGAGTTTTCATTCATGCAGGAGACGAAGCTGGCCGTAGACCAAGGGTGTGACTGTGAGTACGAAGAGGAGGTATAAGAGACATTAAAAAAAAAACACAGTGCTTGATGACGCGTTGTGAATAGAGAGATCTGAGAATTATCCTCAGAGCCTGTCTCTGCATGCTTTCGTTTTTATCCTGAATAAATGAGAGTTGAGAGTATGACTATCGTGGTCACTGGGACTGTCGCACACAATAAAAGCCTCTCAGCTGACCAGACTCGAGTTGAAACAAGCCATTCAGGAGCCCCCTAATAACCGCCAGCATCTCCAACGTCTCCAAGAATCCTCTGCTTGGGATGCTCTTTGCAAATAACAACACAGCGGAAACTAGAATCATGGATTCCCCCACTGGGCACTGCTCACTGTCTAAATGAATGTCAACTAATGGGGTTAAAATGTGTGGGGCGGAAAGTGGAGGGAGGCTGAAAGCTCTCAGCACACACATTTGCCGGAATCCACACAAAGAGCGACGGGAATTGGAATGGAAATAGAACCGGGAGCACCAGACAGAACTAATTCAAAGTCATCAGTGTTCCCGGCAGGCGTCCAGTGAAAGGGAAAGGTACCCTATTCAGCTCCACAAGTTTGCCAAACTGAAGGGCCTAGAGTGGTGTGGGCCGGCAAATAGGTGACTCCCTTTTATTCTTCGGGTGGGAAGTTGGGCACCAAAGTTTAAATAGATTTATGAACTCACTTTATGCAAATTTTTCAACAATAAATTGAAAATAACTTTAAAGTAATGGCTTAATTGTCCTCTTTCCTGGATACCCTGAGAGCTACCATACTCATTTATTGTTTCCCTTTATTGGTTCATTCATTTTTTTTTAATTTACTGTTTTTTAAACATCTGTGGGCCAGCCACTGTGTTATATGATAGGAATACAGTTTCTGCCCCCAAGAAGCAGAGGAGGCCAGTGCATAAGCTCAGACGTCATGTAAATAATTGGTCTCCTGACTGAAGTGCAGGTCGCGGGCGGGGGGTGGGTGGGGGGTGGCCACGCCCAGTCCCCTGACAGCTCAGACAGGAGAGCAGTGGGATCAGCTCTCACAGTCCGTTCTCAATACTCACGGGTTCAGTATTTGCAGATTCTGGATCAGTGAATTTGCCTACTCACTAAAATTTATTAGTAACTTCAAAATCAGTACTGTGGCACTTCCGTGTCATCCGTGGGCGTGTAGAGAGGTGAGCATTTGAGTGCTCTGCCCCCGCTCCCCACACGTGCATGTTCCCTTTGGTGCCTTTGCTCTCTGCCTGCCTCCTGCCTGGCTGTTGGGACGCCTCCTGGCCTTGGGCAAAGAGCTCCCTGTTTGGTGTCAGTCCTGTGGAACCCACTAGCCAGGTCAGTTCTGAGGCTTGTTGGAGGAGGATGGCAGAGACCCTGTGCCTCCAGATGTCAGTTTATCCTGCAAGCTGATGCTCTTGGGGAAAACAAGTGGGCTTGGGGAGTTGAGCGTATGACTTGTTTTCACACTCGCTTTGTCTCCTCTACCCCCTTTAAGCTGTGTGATGGCAGAGCCTGGGTTTGGCTCGACATCAAATCACGCTCAGCATCTCGCACCCTGCAAAGCGCAAAATAGGTCTTCAGGAAAGTTTTGTAGAGTCAGTCTGAGAAGTGGGACCTTAAGGCTGGTGCAGTGGGAAGAGGACGCCTGGGTGAGAAGCAGGGCTGTTCTCTAACCCTTAAATTGTACCCTCTAGGCCACTGCGGTTCCCGTCATGGAGCTGGGACCTGGATGCTTCGCTCTCTACCGCGTCCCCAGGGCTGGACTGAAACCTGGTGCATAGAAGCCACTCAATAATTACTCACTGACTAAATCATCCTTGACTTGGCTCCGTCATGGCGCCAGGTTTGCAGAGAGATACGAAGGGGGTTATGCGTCTCCCCATACTGACCACATTTCCGATCCCCAAGATGAGCAACCGCGCGGAGGAGGCGAAGGCTGTAACTTCAGAAATTCGCCTGATTTCTGACTCCGGCCATGTGGGGTCGCGGGTACCAGGGCTGCTCTCCTGCCTTAACCAACTGGAAGACTGAACAAAATCTAGGAACATCTGTTTTCAGATATTAGACCACGGGCCTCTAGGGGCCGTGGGCCCTGAGAGACAGATCTGGAAGCACTTTGCAGAGCTCAGACAGGAAAGGGAGGGCTCGCTGCAGAAAGGACTGGGAGTGAAATTTAGGGAGGCAGAGGCAGCTGGAACTTCTTGGGCGGAACGTGGGAGAGGAGAGGGAAGAGCTACTATGCCAAGATGCCCAGAAATCTGTGTGGGGCTTACCTTCAAGTCTTGGCTGCACGCCTACCTAGCTGCGCATGCGCGGAGTGCAGCGCCGAAGAACCACTGCTAAGCAGCTGTCACTGGAGCGTCCACGGGGCTGGGGGTCACCAAGTTCCGACCCCCCACAGGAGAAAGCTCAGGGGAATACCCACCTCAGTCAGTGGAGAAACCAAAGAGGCACTTCCTAGTAGTAGGACTGTATTTGCATTGAAAGTAATCAATTTCCCAAGAAGGCATTTATTTCTAAGAACTACGAAAAGTTCTGTTTCTTTCTTTATGTCCAAACAAACAGCTTAACTATTTTCTGCATGCTCAGATCTCCCAGAGGCACCTTGACACCATCGGTTTGAGACTTTAAATAAATAAATAAATAAATAAATAAATAAATATGTATATACACACACATATATATATATATCTTTTTTTATTGATTTGACAGAGAGAGAGAAAGAGAGAGGCATCGGTTTGTTGCTTCACTCATCTGTGTATTCATTGGTTGATTCTTGCATGTGCCCTGACCAAGGATCAAACCCACAACCTTGGTGCCTGGGGACAATGGTCTAACCAACTGAGCGACTCCTCCAGGGTTGTTTGAGACTTAATTTATGCATTTCGTTAGGAAAATTGATAGAAGTAGAGCATCACATCAAAAGAAGAATTGCGATAACTTCTATTTGTGCAAATCAATGACTTCTAAAATAAAATATAAATAACTATATTTTATTTATAAAATGTGAAAAATAAAACCACGGAAATAAAATTATTTTTAAAGTATAAACTATAGATAACACAAAGAAGAAAGTAAAGTTAACCATTCTTTGCACTGTTCCCTTCTGAAGAGCATTTTCCCACATATAATCTCCCACCCTCCTCGCATCCACTGCAGACCAGTACAGATTATTACCCACATTTTACAGACGAGATTAGGTGCCTCTCCTGGGGACACACAGCTTAATGTCCTGGAAAGCAGACCCGGGCTCAGATGCTATCAACTGTAGGCACTTTGAGGCTCTGGGAGCTGCAGTTCCCAAGAAACCATTCCCCACACAGTTTTTGCTCAGATTTTCCAGTAAGGTAAAAAAGAGGTCAAGAAAACAGTTCAAGTGTAACTAGTAATAAATACGCTTTGGGGGCTTGAACAGTTAAGAGAAACATTTCAGGAAGGTAAAGAAAAATAAATCCATTCAGAAGCAGTCATCCTTCCCTGAGTCCAAAAAGGGGCCGGGCTTTTTTGTGCTTCCAGCAGGAGATGCTGTAGATTTTGTGGGCCACATATGGACCAAGGAGAGCTCCATCTGGTGAGAGAGCAAGGTGGCCCAGAAAAAGAATGACATGTGACTCTCCAGTGTCTCTCTGAATTTGGGAAATACATCTCCTATTTGAAACAAAGAAGCAAAGCAATCTCACAGCCAAGTAATTTGTAACTCAGAAAGGAAGTCCTTTAGAAATATTTTACGTATTTATTTTTAGAGAGAGGGAAAGGGAAAGAGAAAGAGAGGGAGAGAAACATCCATGTGTGGGTGCCTCTGTCACGCCCTGGACTGGGGACCTGGCCCGCATGTGCCCTGACTGGGAATCGAACCCACAGCCCTTTGGTTTGCAATCTGGCACTCTATCCACTGTGCCACACCAGCCAGGGCTCAGAAAGGAAGTCTTAATAAAAATGATGAACATTTTAGAACTGAACGGTAATGGAAGCATGGTATGTCAAGAATTGTGAAGCTGTCTGCACAAAGAAACAGCTAAATCTAAATACACTTATTAGGAATCAAGATTTAAGATAAATAGACCGAGGGCCCTGGCCTTCCCGATACACCAGGGTTGCGGGTTCGATCCCCAGTCAGGGCACATACAAGAATCAACTAATGAATGCATAAACAAGTGGAGCAACCAGTCCATGCCCCCCTCCATCTCTCCTCCTTCTCTCGCTCTAAAAATCACTAAATAAAATAAATAGACTGAGGGTTTACCTCAGAAGTTGAAAATAGAATAATGGAGCAAACCAAAAATAAGTTGAATAAAAAGGGAATAATAAAGGTAAGAACTGAAAACTAATAAAATAAAATCAGAAAGGAACACTGAAATGAAAAGTGGCTATTTGAAAAAACAGAAACTCTAGGAAGTCTGGTAAAAATAATATAATATTATAACAATAATGCTATCATTATACAATCAAGCAAACAGAACTCCAAATGCAGTATAGTTATGGGGAGAGAACTTCTGGGAGCTATTTAACAAAAAAAGATGTGTTTGCTCCTTTGGATTGGCTGTGGGCAACAGCCCAGAAGGTTCACGCATGAGTAAGACGCCAGGATGCCTGTTGGTCTCCTGGTCTGTTGCTCAGCTGTTCTCTCTAGGTGATGCTGGTTACCTGGAAGTTAATTCCAAATTTCAGCAGACACTCAGGAATGTGAGCAATCTTTGGTCGGTTTTGGCCCGCAGGCGTTAGCCGACTGACCTCTCTAGTCTCTTCCTCCCGCCCTAAAGGCTGCTGTAATTCAATGTAGGACAACTCAGAGTTTTTGGTCAAAGTCCTGAATGCATCTGTAGCTTTGCCCATTGATGAGTTTTTTTCCATTAGGCTCTTTTTGTTTGGTTTTTATTTCGTTTGTTTGGGGTTGTTTTTTTTTTTTTGGTCAGGGGTAAAGTCTGATGAAGCATTAGTGTTTGAGTTAGGGCTGGGTTTATGATTAGGGTTAGAGATTAGCTTTTGGGTTTTAATGATTGTTTGGTTCAAGTTAGGGTAAGAGCTATGCTAAGAGTTACGCCAAGGGCTAGGGTTAGGGTTACTCGGGGTTTTCTGGCTTTTTTTTTTTTAAACTAAATTTATTGTGGATTGGGCTTTTAAAGATTAGTTTAGTTCTTTTTCAGCATCTGGTTTAGCAGGATATGATAGAGTTTTTGGATAGAGATTTAAAGAAATCAATTTGGACCTTAATTATTTTCACTCCCAAATCCTGCCTGTGCCCAAGAATTTTTGGCATTTCCTGGATATCTCCAATTTGGGCTGGATTGAGATACTAGGAGAACAGTCAACCAGCGTCTCAAATTACCTATGAACTCATCTCAAACGGGGGAGTTTCAGGGACTTCAGGGAAGAAACCTTTGGGAAAACACTTACCTGGCATTTTTTTATCTGCGCAGCAAACCCCTTCTTGTGAATCAGTGCTGCTGAGACTCGAGGGGACGAAGCTGTGACCTGGGTGAAGGTCTAGGAATTAAGACCTTTGCTGGGAATGGGTGAGGATTAAGAAAGACGGCCACCATCTGACTAGTTTGTTCCCTCTGAAACAGTAGCGGAGTTTAAAGTCTATATGTAGCACCTGGATGAATGAAAAATGCACAAGGTTGTCCTTTTAGTATTTAGAGAGTCCTGGCCA